CATACGTGCTTCATGACGCACAAACGCAGGGCGTTCCCACAGCGTTGTCACGCAGAGTCTCGTTCCCTTCAGGGAACTAGGGTTACATACGTAACCAGAGACGTTCGGTTCATTTGGTCCGGACCAAGGGCGAAAAATTGTACTTTGTAGCATTTTCAGGCAATTTGGTTCCTTTTCACACCACACTGATTGCTCTGGTCCGAATCAGTTGATGAGTTAATGAAACAAACCAAAATGCAGTCATGTGACAACATCCACATCACTTGTTGGCCAGATGTGTCTTGAACGTATTTCCATAAGTGCACTTCGATTGGTCAGAATTAACGTGCGGGAAAATTCCACAGATCTATGAAACCCCCTTTCCCTGAGCTGTTTGCTAAACAAAGCGAAGATTTCGCTGTTCTTCGAGTTTTTGAAAGTTGGGACCTAATATGGTCATCAGACCAAATTTCTATGAGGCTCCGCACATCCTCACAACTCCAAGTTTGTCCGTGCAAACTGTCAACAAACATTAGTCCTCAGCGCAGCTGACTTCGGCAGCTAGTTTAGTCCAAAAATGCGCAGTTCTTTGGCAGTTGGGTCTGTTTGAGGTCGGATCCAGTTCTCACCACAAATGAACCGCTCCAGAGTTCGTTTGAAAGCGTACCGGTCCGCTTTTGGTGTGCACCCGAGTGCAATTGCTGCATTCACACCAGCCCAAACAAACCGCACCAAGGGGGACAACGAACTCCAGTGCGATTCAACCGAACTAAATGAGGCAGGTGTGAAAGCACCCTTAATTGCATGATCAACCCAAATTTAGACCGTCCACAGCCCAAGTCATCAGCTCATACAATGTCCAAGTCCTTCTCATCTCTAATGGATCAGTTGAGGTGCATAGACCCCTGGCACTTCCTCAATCCAACTGTAAAAGAGTTTCTTTTTTGAATCATGTTTATTCGCATATTGATTATTTTTTTAATAGATAAAGTTATTTTATCTCTATTTAAATACACAGACTATTCAGCAATTATTATCTCAGACCATGCCCCACACATTTTAGACATCTCCTTCCCCCAAAAATCATGTAGACATGCAGGGGCCTGGAATCTCAATACTGGGTTGACATGGAACACACACACTAGACAGACCGGTAAGTTTTCAAAATCCAAAACACTTTATTTTCATAAATGAGGAAACTGAGTGAAATAGCAGGCAGCACAGCAGTAAAGATGATGATGATGAATGATGAATGGGGAGTAGCCACACATACACACACTCACGCACACTTTGAAAATTAGTGATGTTACGTTCTGTGCCGAGGCTTCGGAGCGTGTGTCGAGAAATCTTGGAAGCTTTCAGTGAAGCGCGTATCAAGGCTTGTATCACTTTAAACCAATGATGCATTGATGACGTCCGAAGCTTTGCTTCCGCCTGACTGGTTCAGGAAGCGGTTCGAATCTTGGCGCAACATCTTGACAGATATATAAACCCATGAACCCTTAAAATGTGTGGTTGTGATAGAGATGAGTTTTGGTTATTTTATAGTTTTGATTGTTGTTTCGATGGAGCCAGCAAGAAAGAGCAAGATACTGGAACCAGTTATTTATTTATTTATTTTACAAACAAATGTTTAAAAGGAGAAAACCCCTGCTAGTGTCTAACCCTCTGGGGTCGGCAAACGCGTCGGCGCGTTTTGGTCGATTTCTTTCACATAGCAAGACTTAAAATACTCCGTCATTTTTGGTCATACAGACTTAGGAAATATGAAAAAATAAACTGTTAAATGTCTACTTTTTTATGTGTCCATTTGCAATCGAAATAAAACATTGTGCTTTTGTAAAATAAAGAAAATAAACAGGGTGTGCTTTCTGCCTCTCCGTCTCTGTGAACTTTTTTTCTGGAGCACGTCTCTAAACTTTAACAAAACTCAGCGAATACTATTCACCCAGGCATGAACAATATATCTTTATAATCATTTAAGTGTGTACTTTTAAATTATCTAATTCAACACTAAAACAAATATCCTCTGTTTATGTAATCTATATAAAAGGAGAGAGATGTCAGTCATTCTCATTTCAGCTCATTACAGCTCGTTATCTGTTAATGTGACCACGCCCACAGAGAGCGCGCGTTATTCAAACGCAAATGATCTGAGGCAAGCCATGCAAACCTGTGAACGCCCACATCAACTGGATAAAACACACCAAGTTTAATCATATTAATGTACTATGTCGTCTTGCGAGGCTGTGAGGAATAATCCAGGGAAATTTACCTCAGAAGTGCTGGTTTAGTTTAATTTCGAGGAGCAACGGATCCAGTTGAGGATTGTAAATAATATTTTTTTTATTCTTAAGTGCTTTGTTCTCATCGCGATATGCAATAGTGTCTGTAAACCGCAAAAAGAGTGTTTAAATATGAATCGTGTGAATGAATGAACGACACAGAGACGCACTGTTGTTTACTGTTACAGACGAAATATGAAACATTTCTTTGACTAGTTTTGGATAGATTATAAAGTTTTTACTGTAAAATAGACATCAAATAAGCTTTTGTTAGCCAGTTTATGCTTATATGTTAAATATATAGTATGTTTTGTCAAAAATAAACTCATCACCTAAGATGTTATCATAGTGTTTGTTCCAATGTAGGCTATATCAAACTAATGAATCCTTTACTTTGAAATATGTATGATAAAATGTATACTTTTAAAAAAGAAAGATTACACTTGAAATAGTTTTAAAATAGTAATTGTTGTTGATTTACATGTGAACACTTTTTAATAAAATAGCAAAAAAAAAATATTTACAAGGTAGATGTAAAAAAATCTTAATAGGTCAATATAAGCCTTCTCATTGAATGATTTATTATTGTTTTTTATTAGTGACACATTTGGGGAGAGGATATATTCCAAAACTTTCTGAAAATACAGTATGAGAATTAACTGCACAATTACTAGAAATGTTTACCATGGCTATTATACAATTTGCATGTATAAAAAAAATGTGGAAAAAGAAAATTATTTTTTCAAAATGTTTCCAAGTCTAACTTTGAACCAATTCTGTAGAATCGCCCATATAGCCTATTTGAACAGGATTTGTTTCCAGATATGACAATGTACTAAAAGTGTGCTTTTGACTTTCATTTATATTTGGATTATAAATATAAATATATATATATATATGTGTGTGTGTGTGTGTGTGTGTATATATATATATATATACACTCACCGGCCACTTTATTAGGTACCCCATGCTAGTAACGGGTTGGACCCCCTTTTGCCTTCAGAACTGCCTCAATTCTTCGTGGCATAGATTCAACAAGGTGCTGGAAGCATTCCTCAGGGACTTTGGTCCATATTGACATGATGGCATCACACAGTTGCCGCAGATTTGTCGGCTGCACATCCATGATGCGAATCTCCCGTTCCACCACATCCCAAAGATGCTCTATTGGGTTGAGATCTGGTGACTGTGGAGGCCATTTTAGTACAGTGAACTCATTGTCATGTTCAAGAAACCAATTTGAAATGATTAGAGCTTTGTGACATGGTGGAAGTAGCCATCAGAGGATGGGTACATGGTGGCCATAAAGGGATGGACATGGTCAGAAACAATGCTCAGGTAGGCCGTGGCATTTAAACGATGCCCAATTGGCACTAAGGGGCCTAAAGTGTGCCAGGAAAACATCCCCCACACCATTACACCACCACCACCAGCCTGCACAGTGGTAACAAGGCATGATGGTTCCATGTTCTCATTCTGTTTACGCCAAATTCTGACTCTAACATCTGAATGTCTCAACAGAAATCGAGACTCATCAGACCAGGCAACATTTTTCCAGTCTTCAACTGTTCAATTTTGGTGAGCTCTTGCAAATTGTAGCCTCTTTTTCCTATTTGTAGTGGAGATGAGTGGTACCCGGTGGAGTCTTCTGCTGTTGTAGCCCATCCGCCTCAAGGTTGTGCGTGTTGTGGCTTCACAAATGCTTTGCTGCATACCTCGGTTGTAACGAGTGGTTATTTCAGTCACTGTTGCCCTTCTATCAGCTCGAACCAGTCTGGCCATTCTCCTCTGACCTCTGGCATCAACAAGGCATTTCCGCCCACAGAACTGCCGCTCACTGGATGTTTTTTCTTTTTCGGACCATTCTCTGTAAACCCTAGAGATGGTTGTGCGTGAAAATCCCAGTAGATTAGCAGTTTCTGAAATACTCAGACCAGCCCTTCTGGCACCAACAATCATGCCACGTTCAAAGTCACTCAAATCAACTTTCTTCCCCATACTGATGCTCGGTTTGAACTGCAGGAGATTGTATTGACCATGTCTACATGCCTAAATGCACTGAGTTGCCGCCATGTGATTGGCTGCTTAGAAATTAAGTGTTAACGAGCAGTTGGACAGGTGTACCTAATAAAGTGGCCGGTGAGTGTATATATATACACACACATATAATTTTTTGTCCTCGCATTCTTTCTTGTGTGACACACCTGAATGAAAGGATCATTATGCAGCTCATTATGCGGCTCATTATGCAGGTCATTGTCTTAGTTGTGAATCAGACCATTATTCAGGACCATTATTCATTATTCAGGATGAATAATGCATATTATTCATATTACCCCCCTTCCCGCCTTCCCGCATATTGCCTTTCCAAACAAAAAGTGTCTTACAAAATTTAAATCATTGTATTGTTTTATGTGAATGATTAGGCAGGATGATTTTCTTTTGAGTCTTGTGGACTCATATTTAGTATGTGTTTTGTGGACTTATTTCAGAAACTTTAAGTTTTAGTTTTTTCAATAACCATGCATAAACAATATTTTCTCACATATTATGGTAGCCCTGTTTGTGCTATATAGAGTGTAATGACACCTTTGCCATTAATATGTTTATAAGCAACTGAAAAAAGCACAAATGTCAGGGCATGTCAAACATCTCAAGGACCCCAAAAACACCTTAGACCCCAGACGGTTAAACAAAGATTTGAAAATACAGTTTTAGAATTCACAAGTACGCTACCTGGCTATGTTGAGTCTGTGATGCTCTTGGAGCCACACTTGTCTATGCAGTCTCAGAACACTCCTTTCCTTGTTCACCTGAGCTGCATCCAATACCTTCTGCACCTGAGATACACACAAACTTATATTTCAAACAAGATATTCAATGTCAAACAAGATATTCAATGGTATTTCCAATGGGTGAGTTTATAGTGAGCATATAGTGACTAATGGGGCAGACATGAATGTGAGTATCACCCTTTTCACCCTGTACATGCTACCCTTGGGATATATCATTAGAAAGCATGGCATTAGCTTTCACTGTTGATGATACTCAGCTCTATATTTCTTCGCGCCCCGACGAAACTTACCAATTCACAAAATTAACGGAATGCATAGCTGAGATAAAAAAAAAATGGGATTGTAATGAGGTTCAAAGTAGTGTGGTGGGAAGAAGAAGACAGGGTCGGCGAAACTGGAACTCGTACGGTTTTTATTACTCAGTATAGTTCAAACAAAAAGACGCGCACACAGCGCATTCACCGTAGCGTGACTACAGCACAGTAAAATAAACAAACTCTTTCCACTTCTATGTCGTTCCGGTCTCAGCTTCTCCGGTTACACAGCTCTCGCACGAGTTCCAGTCCTTTCTCTCTCTCCCGCATTCTCCCACTGTGTGGCTTTTATCGGTCTCCCCATGCCAATCACTGCAATCAGACACAGGTGTTCATCATCTGCACTTGACCTACTTACTCACCGCCAGAGGCGGACAGAGTACAGAGCTTTGTTACTTGAGTAAAAGTACAGATACCCCTTGCTAAATTTTACTCAAGTACAAGTAAAAGTACTACAGTCAGATGTCTACTTAAGTAAAAGTACTAAAGTACTTGTTTTTAAAAGTACTTGAGTATCAGGAGTACAAGAGTAAATTTTCTAAATATTGCATTAGTAATCTACTGCCACAGTGCTTACATTTATGCACAGAAACGGCCTACATGGAGTTATGAAAAATTTTAATGTTAATACCTTGGAGAATGTAAAAGGAATTGAAAGTAAAATCAAGTCATTTTCATCTTTTTACCATGTTGCTTTATTTAATTTAATTAAATTTTTGGGGGGTCCCATCTTTAAATGCGGGGACAACACACACACACACACACACACACACCACATGTAAGGGTGGCGCTGCCAATAAAACACCTAAAAGCTGTCACAAAGAACCGGCAAAAGGAATGATTATGAATATGTAAAATATAGCAAGGAGATATTTTAATTGTTTATTAATAAACACTTGTTAATAAACAAGTGTTTTCTTTGTCAGTGTCGGCTAGATGAAGTTGACGATGCTGACTCGCGATATTCAGTAGTGACCGCGCCAGAGAGAAATGCACATTTCATACGGATTACATAAGCAGAGAGCAGTCTGTAGTCTGTTTTCTTTCGTTTTGAATTTTTCTGTTTAAAAGTAGACATATCTGTGAGAGGCATTTCGGTTCATTTATGAGACGAGATCCAGTTCACGTGCCGGCGCCTCCATTTCTTATCTATCGTCTGCTATTTACTTCTTATTTATTAAACCCAGGCAATTGGTTGATGAAACATTGATTAAAATTAAGATACAATTAATGCAAAACGAAATTCAGGTTAAAGAAAGGTTTTGTGTTTTCTGTTTGATGTCTCTGTGAAACTTTTAAAGCATTTTTTATGCCGCTTTCAGAGCGCTCACGTCCGTAACGGAGAACACGTCCATAACATTGTTTTTTCCTCATAAATGCAAACCCGAAAAATAAAATAAAACAAAATTAATATTTTATGTTCTGTGGAGACTGAGCGCCAACCCTTCTTCATTTGCTGGGTAGTAGCCTACTTTGGTTTGCGCAGTGTAATTCACATAATCAGTAAAAATATATTTTGCCTCCTAAAGTTTTTTTTTAAGAAATCAGAAATCCCTCGTGGCTACGCCACTGCCACATTTGAACCTGACTGTGTTAAACACACCACATACTCAAGAACATCAAACCAAATGCTTGGCTTACATAAATGTGTAATATAAAATCTGACCATGGAGTTGACTTTGGCGGAAAGCTGAAAGTGATTGCTGATAGGCTGTCCCAATCAGTGGCGCCTGCACAATCCAATCACGTTTGAGAGGGAAACAACAAATTGAGGGTTTCCGAGATTTTTTTATTTATTTTTTTACTCGGGTACTCACGGTTATGGATAGAAATGTATTGGAGTAAAGAGTACAATATTTGCCTCTCAAATGTACTTGAGTGAAGTCATGAGTACTCCCCAAAAATGATACTCGAGTAAAGTACAGATCCCTCAAAATTGTACTTAAGTACTGTACTCAAGTAAATGTACTCCGTTACTGTCCGGCTCTGCTCACCGCACAGCTCATTGACTGATCTCCCACTACAGACGTCGCGAGAACCACGCCCCCCTCACCACAGGGATGACTAGTAATTTCCTACTACTTAATTCAGAAAAACACTGAGATTCTAATTATTGGACCAAAAACCTCAGCACGTAATAACCAAGATTATTACATGGAATAATAATAATAACTTTATTTTGTATAGCGCTTTTAAAAGTTAATTCTCAGAGCGCTTTACATAAGCGGAATTAAGAAAACACATAAAAAAGGCATGGTCGCAAAATACAAACAAAGTATTTTGCACAAATTACAAACCTAAAAACAAATTAAAAATAAATATCAAGACATAGAGAAAACCATATGATACATCTCATTAACACCACCAATATCAGCTTTATCCAAATGCTTCCGTAAAATAATACGTTTTAAGGGATGATTTAAACCTTTTCAAAGATGGTGCAAATCTTATTTCGGAAGGCAAGGAGTTCCATAACTTTGGGGCAACTGAAAAGAACGCCCATTCACCCATTGTTTTTAGGTTCGTTACCGGAACAACTAAGAGACCAGCATCGGCCGAGCGAAGATTATGTGTCGGAATGTAGGGCATTAAAAGCTCGGCAAGATATTGAGGAGCGAGTCCATTCAATGCCTTGTACGTCAACATAAGAATTTTAAAATCAACACGAAATTTAACAGGTAACCAATGCAAGGTCTCTAAAATAGGTTTTATATGATCCCTTTGTCTTGTCCTAGTCAGAATACGTGCAGCAGAGTTCTGTACCCACTGAAGTTTGTTCAAAATAGATTTTGATGCTCCTGCTAACAAGGCATTGCAATAATCAATTCTAGGAAAAGACAGCATGGGCCGTAATCTGGATATATTTCTAAGATGAAAAAAAGAAACTTTAACAGTATTACGTACATGAAGATCGAATGTTAAATTAGAATCGAAAATTACTCCCAAGTTTTTAAATTTAGATTGGAACTGGATTACAGAGCCATCCACATGTAATGCTACAGGTTGCACTCTGCGTAACTGGTGAGGCGAACCAATTAGCATCACCTCGGTCTGGCTTGGTTGAATTCTAATGTAGAGTGCAGTAGCACCTCATTGCAGTACACGAGATCCAGGGGGCGGAGTTGGATCCAGATCTAAGGGGTGGAGATGGGTAGGATTAGAGGTGGGGTTAGGGATCAGGGGGTGGAGATGGGTAGGATTAGGGGTGGGGTTAGGGATCAGGGGGTAGAGATGGGTAGGTTTAGGTATATGTAAGGTGTCGTGTTCTGCAGTGAGGACCATCTCGTAGAGTGTGGTCTGTTATTTGTTGATAACAGACCGCTGCTAAGTATAACACACCGTTGCCATGAAAAACAGAGCGTTCCCATGGACACAGTTCTGTTCACTCTGGAGGATAAACTCCTTTAAATCAATAAACTCCTTTTTAAATCAATATTTTGTGTCAAATTATTGATTTATTTGGTAGGTAGCCATGTAATAAGCGGGATAATGTCGAGCGAGGCTGTTGTTATAGCGAATACAAGGACCTTTTAAAATATACTGGTAAATTGGTATATTGGTTCCGGTTCCGGAACTGATGTGTGAATGGTCTGTTACCGGTAAAAAATTCATGCGTTCATGACTTCAAGGCTAGATTATTGTAATGCTCTACTGGGTGGTTGCCCTGCATGCATAACAAACAAACTACAGCTGGACCAAAAAGCAGCAGCTAGAGTTCTTACCTCAACCAGGAAGTATGACCATATTAGCCTGGTTCTATCAACACTGCATTGGCTCCCTATTAAACATTGTATACATTTTAAAATCTTGCTAATTACTTACAAAGCATTAAATGGTTTAGTTCCCCAGTACTTGAGAGAGCTCTTAACGCATAGTTCTTCACCTCTATTTTGATCTCAAAATTATGGCCAGTTGATAATACCTAGAACAGGGATAGGCAACTTCGGTCGTGGAGGGCCACTTTCCTGCAGAGTTTAGCTCCAACCCTAATTAAACACACCTGAACAAGGCGATCAAGGTTTTCATGATTACTAGATAGATACAGGCAGGTGAGTTTTTATCAGGGCTGAAGCTAAACTCTGCAGGACAGTGGCCCTCCAGGACCAGAGTTGCCTATCCCTGACCTAGAATATCAAAATTGACTGCTGGCGGTAGATCCTTTTCCTATTTAGCACCGAAACTCTTGAACAGTCTTCTTAGCATTGTTCGGGAAGCAGACACACTCTGTCCTTTTCTGCTATATAAATAGCAGTAGTGTCCGATTTTGTGAGTGAGCACATTAGCCTAGTTATCACAGTTGAAAACCAAAAGAGTACCTCTTCATCTTTAAATGTTGCGTAATTGCGCTTCTCGTTGAGAGAATGCTGTCCCGATGAAGCCTTGATTCCTGCTCTAACTGCATTATAACATTTGTATAGTGTTTGCGTGTGTCTTGACACTGTTTACCTCTAGACAGCGCTGGGAGATCCAGAGAGAGCGTGTTTGAATTTGCTGTTGTATTAAAGGAGTAGTTCACTTTTAAAAAAACCTTTGCTGATAATTTACTCACCCCCATGTCATCCAAGATGTCCATGTCTTTCTTTCTTCAGTCGAAAAGAAATTAAGGTTTTTGATGAAAACATTCCAGGATTTTTCTCCATATAATGCACTTTACTGGGTACCAAACGGTCCAAGGTCCAAAAGACAGTTTCAGTGCAAACTGCAAAGTGTTCAAAGGGCTTTAAA